AAGTAGTGAGGGAATCAGGAGCAAGTGTCATGAACCACGCCTTTGCTCGATCCTTGAGTGTCTCGGGAAAACATCGCATTTTCAACTGATGTTCGTTGAGCCCGTGGAGTGGGAAAGTTTGGAGAACATTATAGAACTCGCGGATGAAATGTTGAGGATCTTCATTGGGAAGGCCGTGAAAGGATGGGAGTTGGTTGTAGTGGATGGTTTTGAGCTCGTAGTTCCGAGCCGCCGGTCCCAATCGGATGCATGATGTTACAGGACCGATCATTGGTTGGGCTAAGTCGCGGAGAATATACCGCGGTGGGTTGTTTACTTCCTCTTCGTCGTTTCTTGCCATCTTTCTTTGATTGTCGGAAGTTGAAGGTTCAAGGGAAAGATTGGCAAACAAGTCTCGTAAAGCTTCGTCAATTGATTTGTCCTTCGGAATGAGCACACGACCACTCCTAGTACGCATACAAAAACAAAAGTACGTTACGAGCACCTGTTAACGAAGAAGAGTGAACTACAAACACCCCAAGATACAAAGAAAAATAAAACAAGAATAAAGAGAAACACTAAAACAATAAATAACAAGAATAAGAGAAATATGAAAACAAAATGAATAGACGCACGAAATAATTCCTAAACTTTCCCCGGCAACGGCGCCATTTTGTTCGTTATATTTTTGGGCAAGTAATAACCGAGTAACCTGACTCGGGTTGTTCTCAAAGGAAAGTTAGCCGGACTAAATAGTACATTTATTCAATTCACAAAAGAGAAAATAATCCTAAACATTCTAATTCTATTTTGTTGATTTGATTTTTAGCTAAAACAATTTAAATATAACAGCTTAGAAATTTAATGCAATATAATTTAAACCAAACTAAATAATTAAAATAATTTCAATGAATATAAATAGCTAGGGTATCGGGGACAATCAACTCCAATTGAATTAACTTTTACGGCAATCAATTTACTCAGTTAAGCGATTCAATTAATTAACTCTTTTAGAGGTTTAAACTCACTAACTTTCGTAATATGCGAATAAACATGAAAAACATAAATTATTAAAACAATTAACACAAACAATACGCTTCCGAACATGTTTATTCTAAACAAGTCAAGTTCGATCAATTTCTCCCCTCTCGGTTTTGAAATCGATTATATAGATTAAAATGGTGATCAACCACTTAATCATGAAATGGATAAAACTTGTAAAGAATGAGATTATTGAAATGCTTATAAACGATAATTAACCGAACCGATTATCCCCTTTCCCTAGTTAGGGAATTAGTTGATCATGTTAATATAACCAAACAAATATTCTTGTAAATAACTCATCATTAATGAAAACAAAAATAGAACTTACTATTACTGAACAATCCGCAGAGCAAATGCAAACTTAATTTCTTCAACACACTTCAATAATGCAAACTTAAAACACAATAAAAGATAGTGAAGAAACAAGTTGAAGAAGAAGAAGAAGATGAAGATGATCCTTTTAGCTAGGAAATGATCCCTTTTTATAGCCAAAGTAATCACCCTTTTAGTTGAAGTTTGATGAGAAAATAACTGGAAATAACTCATTACATAATATTCCACGCCATTGCAAAAGTCCAATCTACCACCCATTCAACACAAGTTTCAGAAATAGGTAAGAAAACAAGTCTGTTGTCTACCAGTAGGGTTAGTGGCGCTAACCTACCTTAGTGGCGCTAAGGAAGGTTTGCGGCGCTAACAATCCTTAGCGGCGCTAAGGCCCGCTGGAACATAAAATTTTACTCCTTCAACTTATCAACTAGTAGAATTCTCGACTTCCATGTAATCGGTAGTATGAATCACATAAGTCTTCACAGGATCGGATGAAGGACATCAACCAAGCGACTACAATCTGAAATCGAGCTATACGAAAAATACAAAAAAAAAATAAGAATAAAAATAACAAAAATACCAAACACACTTAAATATCACAAAAACACACTAAACAAATAAATGGACCGGAAAACACTAAGAAACAACCTAAAACAGGAGAAACAATCGACAAAATATTAATAAAAGTAACAACAAAAATGGAACAAACACTCTTCCTGGATCTGGAAATCCTTGTGGAAAGTGAGGGGGTTTTGAAGGAAGAATTGCATATAGTGGTCATGAATGGAGCATCTGTTAGACTCCAGGATTTTAACTGGGTCCCTGGTATTAAAGATAGAAGCCCAAAGTTTAAGAATATCAATGCCTTTGGGAAGCTGAGGGTAAAAGATCTCATTGAAGCAGACAGTGGCCATTGGAAATGAACAAAAAATCAGAGACTTGTTTGACGAAGATGACAACAATGAAATCCTCAAAATCCAGACAATTGATCCCATAGGTGAGGATAAATGGAGCTGGAAAATGGGCAAGAGAGGGAAATTCTCAGTTCCTTCTTCTTACACCTTTCTACACCAAAAGAAATTCCACTCTTTAGACCTGCCTGAAGGCAGCAGCACATCTACAAGAAATCAAGGGATGGCAAAGAACATGGAACCTGCACATCAAAGGTAAGCTAAAGCACTTCCTATGGAGGTGTATCTCATGCACCTTGCCTGTTAATGCCAACATGAAAAGAAGAAGGATAAATGTGGATGTTATATGTTGTTGTTGTGGAGATGTTATTGAAACTACAGAACATGTTCTATTGGAATTCCCTAGAGCTTAAAAAGTCTGGAAACAAGCACATGTGACATGGGATGGAATACAACTGGATGGTTGCAGTATCAAAGACTTGTGGGGTTCTACATGTTCTATTAGGCTTGCTGCAGTTGATGAGGCTAGGATAGAGTTCACCACATATATTTTATGGTGATTCTGGAAATCGCGCAATCGTTGGATGTTTGAAAAAGATTGGAGAAATGAGAGGAGCATCTTAGCAGGTGCTTGGGAGGAATGTTAAGAGGCTGCAGGTTTGAATCCAAGAGGAGCATCATAGAGATTGGGAAGCTTAGCTAGGTCTGCGTAGACAGTTCAGTGGCTGGTTTTTCCTTTCTGTTCTCTTCCATTGTACTGTTTTTTCTTTTTAGTGTTTGTTCTGGTTTATCACTGGAGGGCTCAGTATGTTTTACTACCTTTGGTGGTTGTTAGTTTGTTGTATTTATCCTACTATGTCTAGTAGTGCTCTCTGGTTTAGCCTTCAGCATTGAGTGTTGCACGTTTGTACTTGAACATCTGTTTTTCGATTATATTGAGTTTCATATCATTATGAAAAAAAAAAACAAACGGGCCCGTTCAATTATTAACAAACTTTAGTATTAGGTATCCCATCTCATAGGTGGGATGTGTAATCCACTTTATTTTTAATTAAAATTTACAAAATAACCCAGCCTCTTCTTCGTGCTTCTTCCTGCCTTTATTCATCATCTTTTTGTTATCAAACAACAACACCCTTTTTCATCTTTTTTTTTTTCGAAGTTCATAAACACCATTTCTTTTCTCTGTGCCTTCCTGCCTTCCCTTCATCTTTTTTTTTCTAAATTTCTAAACAACATCACGCTTCTTCATGTTTTTTTTTTTAATTTCGCAAACAATACCGAAGCCTTCAGATCTCGTGGAAATCAAGAATTTTCTTTCAATTAAGCTTCAGATCTGGTGGATAAAGCTATATTTCGGTTTGACCAATTTTCTCGGCCCATCAATCTTGAAGTCGGCGGCGGAAGGATAGCAGACACTACAAGAATTCTGAAAAAAAATGACAAAAAAATTTGTCATGAAAATGTGAGTTTTCGTCACCGAATATATTTGATGACGAATTTTGAGTGTCACAGAGTTTGTCACTGTAGCCGCGTCATATTAGGTCTAAATGATAATATTTCAATTTTGTCATATAATGTTTTGAATTTGTGACAAAAAATAGTATTGTCATTGTACATTTGCGAGATTTGGTGACGATTGATGTGTCACATTTGTCATGAAATTTTTGTCACAAATTATGTATATTTGTCGCTAAAAGTTAGCCTTTATATGACAAAAAATAGTATTGTCATTGTCCTTTGTGAGATTTGGTGACGATTGATTTGTCACATTTATCATGAAACTTTTGTCACAAAATTATCTATATTTGTCACTAAAAGTTAGCCTTTATATGACAAAAAATAGTATTGTCATTGTCTTTTGTGAGATTTGGTGACGATTGATTTGTCACATTTATCATGAAAATTTTGTCACAAACTTATCTATATTGTCACTAAAAGTTGGCCTTTATATGACGAGCATATATGGTTTCGTCGTCTTAAAATTCACATATAATGACAAAACAAGGGTTGTGCTATAGTTACAAAAAATTATTTGTCACCAATGAAATATTTATAATGACGAACGAAAATGTCACTTAAAATTATGTTTTAATGATGAAATAATCATTGTCACCAAATAAATAAATTAAAGATGACGATATCTTTAGTTATAGAAAGATTGTATTAAATGACATTGTGTTTATCGTCACCAAATATATATAAAAATGTGACGATATATTTATACTAAATGTGACGATATTTATACTGTCACTTTAAAGAAGTTTAGTGTGACAAAATATTAGTCATAAATAGGCCATTTTATGCCACAATATTTGACCATAATATTAGTCATAGTTTAGTGTGTTACAAAATATTGCTTTTAGTAACACATTGAAAATTATCATAAAAATACTATTGTAATTAGTCAGTAAATTAGATAATGACATAATATATTCAGTGAAATAGAAATAAATGATTATATTTAAAAGGAATTATATAAAATATTCATAATTAAAACCAAAAACAATAGTACTTGAATATTAAGTGAAAAATACTAAATACACACTTAAGAAACAAATCTCTAAATCCATAGGCTTATTTTCTAGTTTTGCTGAAAAGTCTCGATTTATCCATCAACATCAAAGAGAACAATCACCTGTAAACATAAAACATATGAATCAGCACATATATTTACATTTATCAAAGCATATTTTCACAAATAAAAAACCCATTGTTTACATCCAATTGTTTACCTCAAGTATTTTCTTTGGAAGCCATGAATGCCTTAAGCTTTTCAATATCTGCACCTTGTTGGCCCAATAAGTTCTTCAAGCCACTAACTTCTTCCTTGAGCTCACTCACTTGTGATTCTGACGCTTTTAGTTTTTCTCTAGTTTCTTGAAGCTCTTTTTCCTTTTGAAGACTTTGGTTGGCTGGAGCAAAAATGCCTTTGTTTAACTGATTTGTCTGATAACCAAGTCCCTTCAGATAAGTAAATCTTGGACCAAGCACCTCGTGAACAATTTCTTGATTCGTCTTATGAGCTCCTTCTGGTATATATTTTTCTCGCCTCGATACCATCAACTCCTGATGGATTACAAATATATATCATGCCTATCTAAAAAATAACAATACCAATACCAATATGAAAGTGTGAATTACCCAATTTTCTTTTGCCTCAGCATCACCAGCATCACCATTAGCATCTCCATTAGCATCTCCATTAGCATCCCCATTAGCAGCATTCTTCTGAGCCTAGTCAAGAATAAAAATAAAAGTGAAATGTACAGGATATGAACCTATTAAAATATTGTGATTATTTCTCCATGGCGTAACATGTAAATATTTTAAAACATAATTGCATGTTTGGAACTTACAATTTCATGTTGAAGTGTAGAAAAATGAGTTCTGCCAGATATATGCGGGGTCCTTAACATTTGTCGATTCATAGAGTTAATTGAACTTTGATGCTGAAACCAAGAAATTGCAACATAAGAAGTATTCCCAAAACATTTCAATAAGAGTACCAATCTCTAGAGATTTTACCTTGAACTTAGCTGATGCAAAATAATCACAGAGTTCGTCCCAATTTTCTTTACTAGCACAAAATGGTGGCTTATTATTCTTAGCCTCTTGTAGGGTTGCATACTTCTTGTAATGCTTATGCAACCTGTGACGAACTTGTCGAGAACTAGATTTCATCCTATCAACCAAGCAGTGCCTCACACCCGGTGCATCCAAGTTAACATCCATATGAATCTGAACATCACATTTAACATATTTTTACATATACAAGAAAATGAAAACATGTCATTTTATTCTTATTTTATAGTTACCTTTATATGATCGATGCCTGGTTCCAAAAATTTTTCTTCAGCCATTTCTTTCCATTTTCTTGGCACTCTAAGGACATCTCGAGATACTACACCAATTTGACTTGAGAGCTTTGCAGATTGCTCTCGACTTTTGGGCCGACCTGTCAGTGGATCCACGTCTATCTTCAATTTCTTTCCAGAGGCATCAAATGCTTTCATAAGTCCCTTACCCATTGTTTGACCATGTCTTCTCTTAGGGACAGAAGCTTTGCCTGGTAACAAAGAACATTACATTTCATTAATGAAGGACACATATACTATTATCAAAGAACATTACATTTTATTAATAGGGACACATACTAATCCTTTAAGATAAAATTATTGCAAAATGGAATCATTACATTTCAGCCAAGGATTTTACAAAATGGATAGATTTGTGACATTTATCGTCCAACGGAAAGAAGGAAAAGAATATCATCATGCTGAGATTTTTATTTTGTTGAATCATGATAAAACTTTCCTGAACAATAAACGTTAAGTTAGTATAACTTCAAAACGTTACCACAGTTAATTGAACATCACGACAGATATGGTACATCTAAAATTTATAAACTTTTCTATTCCCTTGCCCATAGTCATTTTAAACAAGGGACATTCGGCACATACTACAAAATCAAATTCACATTGTTTCATAACCGAGCACATTAATTCAAAACAATTTCACAATGTTTCCATATAAGCATGTCGAACACAATGAGAACCTGAAACTTAACTATCAAAGTTTGAGACAGTCAGAACCAGTATAAGGCAACATATATTCACTAATATTCCTGATGCCTGATAGTTATTTCAAAGAATACCCCTTCTATCCCTCTACACAAGAGAGGGACCAACAATTATTATCGCATCCTTAAAGTCTCTTTCAGCTCCATTCAATTTGAAAAATCAGGATTCTCAGGCACTCTCACTCTACAATCAAATAGCTAACCCAATTAACTCCAGGTTCAGTTTTCACAAAAATATTTACCAGCCTAATTTCTTTCATGGAAACCTAAGCATGTCTTACCTTTTATTTGTATCGTCCAACACCGATTTGACAAGTACAGAAGATACTTCTAGTCGAATGACTAGTGGTGGTTTACTCCCACACCGTTTGCTTAATTTCGAAAGGTTCATAAGTTAGTTTTTACATTATTTAAAAAACATATTGCACCTCCCCAACTACTTATCCTAAGTAAAAAACATATTGTACCTTTGATTGATGTATCCTGAAGGTTACCAAAGCCTTCAGCTGCATTCAAATTCTGATTTTGGTTGGAAGCTTCAAGGGTTTGCAGAATACCACTCTCATTATTGTGATTTGCTGTAGTGTTATCACCTTCACCAGAAGAACCATGATGAATTTCAGTAGTTCGACTTGCTCCAGCCACTTCAACTCCAGAAGTTTCAACTCCAGCATATGGCAGATGGCACATTTAATGACACAATTAAGACGTTCTCCGACTCCAATATGAGCCAACGCAGACGAGCTATTCTTGGCAGCTTGGTTAAGCATGCTTTGTAGAGAAGCTTTTGAAATAATTCTAGGTTTACGAATTCCTGGCGCCATTCGTAGAAATCTACATAAGACAACAAAAATTTTATCAATGAGCTCGACTAATCATTGTTATCTCAACATGAACTTATACTAATACTTACACTTAATTCTCTCCACAAGCCTCAACCTATCATACCTCATCCTAACCAGCCACACTCCACAACCTATCATGCCTCATCCTAACCAAATCCCATATCCAGGAAAGCAGATACATTATGAGGTGGAAATTCTCCTTGCTCCTCATGAGGCTGAACATGTTGTATTTCGCGTTGAGCATGTACTCGACTGTCTCCATTATAAGCGGGGGCTCAGCCTGTGCAACTTTTTGTCGCCACTATATACATTGCTTTTGTGCCTGAGCTGGTCGATTGGTCGATGTTCCAACCGATATGGGATGGACGTAGTGCATTTCCAGGAGCAGGGGCTTCCTCTATTGGGCAAGACGTAGTGCATTTTCGGCAGCAGGGACTTCCTCTATTGGGCAATTACGTTGACCCAAGCCGTGCACGTGAACTAAAGCTCCTTGCCGTGATTTTTCATCCCAGAGGGCA